ATGTGAGAGCTGGGAAGAGGGACCTTTCATTGTCCCTGGAATGCTGATGCTCTGTGAAAGTGCCATGAGGCAAGGAGTGGCCGACAAGTTGGGTTCTCAGTGGCCTTCTGGCTTTTACCATCCACGTTTTCTATTTTCCATATTGAAACACAGCATAGGGTTTAAAAAACACAACCTACAAAATGAGCTTAGCATTGAAATATAATGTTACAAAACCTTTAGCTAGTTAACATTTTTTCAGTTAATAAAATTAAGGTCAGAAAGATAGAGTTACATATGTGTGTTTTTTTAATTTACACAACAAATGTTAATTGAGCATACAGAAATACCAGACCTTGGTTTATCTCCTGAGAATACAGTGACACACTCAAAATAGAACATATTCTTATTAAGGCATTGGCTCTTGGAAATATTGGTGAACTTGCCTGACCACTTTGGAAAGCAGAATTTTGTAGAATCATACATATAAACCCCGTCTTTCTGGTCACTCTCTTGTCACCTTTCTTAAGAATATTCATTAAGAATTAATATGATTACCCTAGCCAGTTTGGCTCAGTGGATAAAGTGTCGGACTATAGACTGAAGGGTCCCAGGTTCAATTCCAGTCAAGAGCACATGCTGAGGTTGTGGGCCCTATCCCCGGTGGGGGGTGTGCACGAGGCAACCAATCAATGATTCTCTCTCATCATTGATGTTTCTATCTCCCTCTCTGTTTCTCTCTGACATCAATAAAAAAAAATTAAGAAAAAGAATTAATATGTTCAAGGGCTTAACAGATTTTCTGATTTTGTTTGTTTCTTTTTTTATTTTGTCCTCTTTCTTTACTCTGGTTTCTCAGAGAAGGGAAAGGGTTGGCAAGAACAGGTGGAGCTAATAATTGTAAAGGTTTTGGTGGGTGTGGGAAAATTGAATTTTATAATTATTACTATATTAGATCATCGGGGTTTACATTTTTGCTTACAAACGTTTATTTTTTTAATTAGAACATTGTAATTTGTATTTGTATTCATATATTGTAACGCCCTGGACGCAAGCCGCTGTCACAAAGAACCAAGAGACGCTTCTCATGCAAAAAGCAAAGGGTTTATTGATACCAGCATGCTGGGACTCACAGCCTACTCTGAGCACAGAGCAGTGTCTGTGAGTCCCGACCAAGAGTTCAAGCACACACTATATACTTTTCAGCAAACGGGGGAAGTAACCTGGGGTCATTCCATTGGAGATCTGGCGCCATACAACGTACATCTATCTGCTTTCGGTGGGGAGGGAATGTAGTTTGGAATTTTTTACTAATGATCTGGCTTTCTAAGTGAGTTAATGCCTGTCTGGTTTCTTATCAGGTTGTTTGTTCTGCAGCCATCTCCCGTAACCTCCCTGGCTGCAGCTGTCTCCCATAAAAGTTGTTTGTTCTGTCTGCCTTTTCTGACCCTCCTGATTATATTGGCGCCTCTCATTCCCCCCTTTTTCTGTGGGCGGTCTCTAATCTTAGAGACCCTCAGACTCAGCCAAGGCTGAGTATTGTTGCCTGATAATCAGGAGCTTAATGGCCTCTACCCTCTGTTGTATGAATTCCATAATTTTATTTATAATACAGGGTCCTATAGAGAGGATTAACAGCAGGATTATGAGCGGTCCTGCGATTGCTGACAACAGGGTTGTTAACCATGGCGACTGTGTAAACCAAGATTCAAACCAACTTTTCTGCGCCTCCCTTTCCTTTTGTCGCTCGGCCAGCCGCTGCCGAAGTTTGGTCATGGACTCCTCTACTACCCCTGTATGATCGGCATAAAAACAGCATTCTTCTTGAAATTCCTTCATGGCTATCAAAAAGCCAAATTAAGATTAATTTATCTACTGTCCTGATGTTTGCATAAACACAACAAGAATGGTAACTGACTACCTTTGCTGGAATCTCATGGTTGAATCTTAATGTGCCCCGTAGGGCCAGGAAGCCACGCCACCCAGCTGCCATCAGGCCCGCCTGCAGTATCTGCTGAGTTAGGTGAATTCTTCACCTGTAGCAATTCCACCTGAGCCCACGCTCCAGGCTTTAAGCCCATCTTAGTAGCCCTCCTACTTGTTGCGGCCCAGAGCGTGTGGGGGCTCCGCAGGAATGCAGAGGCATCCCTACTGCTCCCCTTTTACTCTTACCAACCGCCAGTGATGGTAGGGCATCGGCCTGACACTCCAGCGCCAGCCATCTTCAGGGCTTCCAAGCAGAATACCAGGCTTTCTTCGTGGCATTTTTACTGGCTTCAAGTCTTTAGAGCTTAGACAGGGCTCTTTAAAACATGATACTCCAGTCAAAGTTTTCCGTTAATGAAACCACTATTAGGAACCGGTCTTATTGAATCTATGCAAAGAAATGTTTTGCCATGTTAGCATCGCCAAATTTTGGAGGAATTACATAAGAAGAAAGATATACTGATCTACTCTAAGATTTTCTGACTTTCCTTGCCAATTCCTTTTAATTGTTGGCATTAAACTTTCTTTCTATGTATAACTATGTCTCAGACTTTTCACTCTAAACAGGCTTTTTTTTTTTTTTTTTTCAGACTACCCCTGACATGGGCATGGTCATAAAGGCCTGCAAGCAGTACACAGGCTGCCAACTGTTAGCTGTCTCTCAACAGAGACCAAAACCTGATGGGCACTGTTCCCTGCCCAGGTGGGCACCTGCCCTCTTGGCAGCTAGGCACCCTTTACTTTTTGGGGTTCACCCCACATAGTACCCTTCCAGGACAGCCAACATACATTTAAACCTGCAAGAGAATTAAAGGTTAATGTGACATATCAACACAATGAAACATAATATAGGCATCATGGCCGCCTTAGGCAGCCACATCTTCTGCTATTAAACATGTGATTCTATAAATTGTCTTTGTCTCTTTGGAGCCATGTCCATGAAGATGCAGGCATTATCTAAGTCTATTCAATGTTACCAGCATCAGGCAGGTCGATCACGCCGTAGCTTGCTGCTGACCAGACATGGATGTGATGGACCCAGGTCGCGACGCCGTCTATCTTGAGAGCGGTGGGGGTCGTCAGCACCACGGAGTCGGGTGTAGGGACCTTTCCATCGAGGCTCCAGGTGGTGCCTTTTGATGTAGACCCAATCTCCTGGTCTGTGCTGATGAGGAGTTGGGGTTGGGCCAGTCTCCTGGGTGGCGCCGAGGCG